ATACTTCGTTCAGGCATCCTTGTTGATAAGAGGTATCTCCTCATCCCCAGATAGATATTTACTACCGTTAATCCCATCTCCCTCCCCCCCCATAGTTTCCCACTACTGTCAGTCATTTTTTATAGTATTACATTGGATGTTCAGGGTCCACTATATGAGTGAGAACATGTGATACTCAGATCTTTGTTTCTGTAAGAGGTCACTCAGTATTATAGACTCTAGTTCCATCCAGGTTGCTGCGAAATTCATGATTGTGTTCTTTTTTATGGCTGTGTAATATTCCATCACGTATAGGCACATTTTTTTAATCCAGACCTCTTTTGATAGACAGCATGGTTGATTCCAGGTTCTTGCTATTGTGAACAATGCTGCAATAAACATACGTGTGCAGGTATCTTTTTTATAGAGTGATTTGAGTTCTTCAGTATATATTCCCAGTAGGGGGATTGTGGGGTCATATGGGAGGTTAATATTTCAATTGCTCCTTTCTTTTCATGAAGGCACACACCATAATCAAAGAAATGATTATCCTGACAATTACTCTGGAGGCTTTCTGGGTCTTGAGCTATGATTCCTCCTGTTACCTCTCCCCTGTCCCTGCCTTCACAGGCTGGGGGTTTCTTTTCCTTCCCACCTCCTCTCTCTTTAAATACCTTATGGTCTCTCTAACCACTCTTGTGCAAGCCTTGGCCAGAATCCCCACAGCTCTCTTTGTGGGTGACAAAGCCATAAGCCCTTTTGTCCATCATCTACACTTTTGACACACATGGCCCCTCATCTATCCCATGCCACTTTGGGGTCCAACACAATGAAGTTGTTAACATGACCTGGATCAAAATCCCATCTCTGCCTCCTATCAGCTCTACAGCTTGGGAAGTTCCTTAACTTCTCTGAGCCTCCATTTTCTCACTGTAAGATGGGATTATTAGGATGCTTCATAGGTGAGGATTAATAAGTTAATGCATATACAGTGCTTAAAATATGCTAAGCATGAGATATGTTTTGGCTAGTTTTATTGTAGGACACACACAAAATCTGGTGTATCTCTTTGGATGCTTTCAGAAGCTCCTTGTCTGTGTGTCTAAAGATTCCTTTCTTGCTACCATCTTCAATTAAATACACACCAAGTGTCATTCTCCAACTTGAGTTCTTTGCTTTTTGCTTTTGGGGGTCATGCTTTTGGGGAGCTCATCAAATAGCTTTACACTGGGGGCAACCTAGTATAAAAGAAAGAACCCAGGCACTGCACCTAGGGATCTGGTTTCAAATTCCCCACCATCATGAGTACCAGACCCACAGCTGGGGCATATTATCCATTCTATATCTGCACCCTCATCTGGAGAATGATGTCAATTCAACCTGTCCTTCAGAGTTGTGGTGATTAAAACATACATCGAAAGAGTGGGAGAATAGAAAACAGTGTGATATAACTCAGTAATGCTGAAGATAGGTAAACTCTATGATCTAGTCATTCCACTCCTGTGTATGTGTCATAGGAAAATTCAAGAACACTAAAACCACAGTAGGCCGAGCGTGGTGGCTCAAGCCTGTAATCCCAGCACTTTGGGAAGCCAAGCAAAGAGGATTGCCTGAGCTCAGGGGTTCAAGACCAGCCTGGGCAACTTGAGTCCTAGTCTCTACAATAAATAAAAAAAATAGCTGGGCATGGTGGCACACACCTGTACTTCCAGCTACTTGGAAGGATCGCCTGAGCCCAGCATGTCGAGGCTGTGGTGGCCGTGAGTGTGCCACTGCACTCCAGCCTGGGAGGCAGAGTGAGACTGTGACTCAAAACAAACAAACAAAAATCTACAGTACATGTGCCAGAAAGTTTATAGCTGCAATTGTTCACAATTGTCAAAACTAGAAATGACTCAAACATCCCATCAACAGTAGATAAGTTGTGGCATATTCACAGAATATCACACAGCAATAAAAATGAATAAACCACAAACTACAGCTACACACAATGTAGATGAATTGTAAAATTATAATGTATTTTAATTTTACTTAATTCAACACATAACCCAAAGACATAATGTTGAGTGAAAGAAGCCACACACACAAAAAAAATACATGCATACTCATTTCATTCAAAAACAGTTAAAGTCGAACTCTATTGATTAGGGATGGATGGATGGATGTAACACTGTAAAGAAATGCAAATAAATGGTCATTACAACAGTAAGAGTGTAGTTACTTATGGGGGGGTTGGAGAAGATATATGGGAGAAGATCTTGTGAGGGTTTCTGGGTATTGGTAATGTCTTGTTTTTTGATCTGGGCGTTAAGTACATAAATTTTTATAATAATTTATTAAGCAATGAGTGTGTGTGTGTGTGTGTGTGTGTGTGTGTGTGTGTGTGTGGTGATATATACATAATAAAGGACAGTATCATGGGGAGACACCCCTTATTAACAAGGGTGCCTGAACAATGCACATTTGTATACCTAACC